AAAAGTAAAATAAAGAAATAAAAAAGTTTATCGCATGAGTCCAGCTAAGGAAAAAATATCTACGAGGTGGGGTTTTTTTTTTTTTTTTTTTTTTTTTTTTTGTGCAAGATTAATGGATCTTCATGTAAGACGAACCAAGTAATTTACATTTAGAAGAAATTCTCAGTTTACATTTACACTGTACATACGGTAGTATGATATTAAGCTCCAAAACAACGTCTCATTTTATACTCGGCGTTTAACAACATTTACTGAATTTATACTTAAATGTGTGTAATAAAAGAGGAAAAACGCATTTATCATATACTGGAGTTTAGTAAAATATATTTTAAAGCAAAAATGTATTTGAAAAAAAAAGCGTATACAATAAATTTAATGTTAATGTTCAGTAAATCTTGTATCTTAAGAGTTAGTACTTGGTTGATATAAAAGATTTTAATATTAAAGAAGTAAAAGAGTTGACGATGTTATTGTACAAACAATAATATACCGATTAGTGAAATTCGAGCTATTTCTACCACTTACTCAAGCTCATCTATCGGTTCTGGAATATCGTAAATTATAATATAGTCTTTTCCATTGATATCGCTATTTTCAATGTCTATTGATATTGGATGCAGATTTAGATGGTTTGGTCTGACGCTCTAGGGTTATTTTTTGCATACTTTAGACTAATTAGACCAGGATCTACGATTTAATGGGGATTCCGAAACATTCACAAACATCTATGCCATCGCCATAATTCGAATCTGTAGCCTGTTTCCGATGGTGTTCAATAACCTCGTAACACTATTTTGAAATGCTTCTAGGCAAGGACAAGTAGATGTTGAACAAGTAGTAGATCATCCCTTGAACGTCCATCCGACCTTTGAATTTATGTCTCTTTTCCATAAAGATTAATGTTAATACATCAATATTCTTCTTTAAGAAAAGATGTTAACCCCTCCTTTTTTTGTGTCAATTTTCTAATGATACAAGAACCTTTCACTGCTTTCCCAATTAATTTTATTAATTTCTTATTTAAAACTTACTTACTTATTTGAAACGTCATTACTTTGCTTTCTCAAATCTCACGAGCCTAATACTTTTCTAAATACCACATATCGTGCCAAATAGTAATGCTGTTAAATTATTAGCAATCCTAATGTAATGAATAATAGAGTTTGACTCAAAAGATTTAAATCATTAGTGTGGTAATTCACATTTTGCTTGGCACCATGCTAAAGGAAAAGTATGTATATTCTACAAAAACCATTTGATAAAAACAATAAATAATTATCGTATCTATTTTAATTTCAGATTTATATAAAATGATTAGTATTAGTACTGTTCAGAAATTTACAATGGAATTAAATTTTTATTTTAAACAAGTAATATAAAAAAAAATTTTAAATCAATGACTACTTTTTTTCAATATATAGCAGAAAAGTCCTTTACAAATAAAGTAAAAATTTTCCTCTTACATCTGGAAATCATATCTTATTAGATACATGCAACTTAAATCTAAAAAAACTAAAATTAGGTAATTAAATTTAATTACTGAATTAATATTTGAAAAAATTATATTAACTTCAAGTGTCATCCACTACAAGTTTAAAAAAATGTATTTGAACTTGAGTGGATAAATAAAAAGTATTTTATGAACGATTGAAAATTTGAACAAGATATATATATATATAGGGAGAGTGTGAACTAATAGTAGAAATTGAAAAAAAGGTGAAATACAACATGATCAAAAAATCTATCGAACGAAACTGCATCTTGGCCAAATAATCCTCTCAATGATTTTCTGAAGATCGAGCAAACGTTCCTCTAAAGTTTCTGTAATGTCGTCTTCTACAGCCTACTACTTTGATGCTTGCGGCAACAAAACATCACAGAATTTCGAGTTGTCATTTTGGTTGGCTTATTTGTCGTAGTGAATTTCTTTCCAAATTCAATAAGCATCGCGGTGTTAGGCGAAGTATTGAAGTAAAGTTAGACCGTGAAACCCCTAGAGCAACAAGGTGAGGAAAATTATATTTATTTTATTTATTCCAGTTAGCGTCAGGTTATGTAGCAGTATCTGTAGTACACTAATAAACAATACGTCGCTTTTATTGCTTAAAGAATTATTAGTAAATTCCTGAATTCGATAGATAGATTTTCGGATCATGTTGTTGTGGTGTCTAATTCTCAGTATCTTGCACTGGGAGACGGCCATCCCGTAAGATACTCATGGATGGAGGGAAAGGTTTGGTTTGGATTGTCGCTCTACGGTCATTTTGTGGACACTTAAGCTAATTAGACCGGGACCTACAGTTTAACATGAATTCCGAACCGCTCACAAACATCCACGCCACCACTAGAATTCAAACCTGAAACTTGTGGTATCAAACGCAAGATGGAGGGAAAGGAGGCAACTTCTGTTGTTGTGATGAGGCACCCGTAGGTAGAAGTCTGACTTGGCTCCGTGTCTCTGAAGAAGGAGGGCAGTAGTGATTAGTCCCTGAGGGACTTTTAGGAGGAACTACCCCATTTGTTTATCGTATGGAAGAAAATCCGTAAGACTCCGGCTTGTTAGTCCGGTTAACATGACAAGATGTTGTTTGAACAACATAAGCGCCATTGAACTCCTCGTTTTTTGAAAATCTATAACAAAACCTCCAGCGAAGTGAACCTCAGCACTAACGCTCATCAGTGGCGCACGTTACCATTGAGCCACTAGTCGGGTATTTTCTGACCATACGGTATTCATAAAAAATTTACAAAAGTAATCACGCCAGATACTGGATGCGGCTCTAACTTCCAATTATTCAAACTCAAGAATTATGTTTAATTACTTCCAATTATTTTTTCATAGTGATTCTTTTATGTTAACTTATTTCGCCTCGATCACTTGTGTTCGTAGTACATAAGGTTATATGGCTAAAAAGTCTGTAAAAAATCATTAATTAACAGTACTTTCAGTACTGTTAATTAAATCAAAATAATGGACTGAATGTGGGTACAAAGTGTTTTCCATTGTTAAATATTTCAATATACACAGTCCAGTCACATTAATGTGACCACCACCTACTTTCGACGTCAATATGAAATAACCAATCACAAAAGGCTGGTGGCAGCGCATTGTAGTGGAGTGTATATAAAGGATGTCCTATGGCATCGGAAAGCATTTCAATCGTTGGCGTAATATATATATGCATATTTGAAAATTATTAAAAAGGTGTATATTCTGGCTTTTGACAGGTGGTCACATTAATGTGACAGGACTGTGTAAATTATCAAGTATTTGGTTTAATCAATGGTAATGGTTTACGGTTTAATGGTTTGGTATGGTTTCGGGTTAGAATAGCCCCACTGTAGCCCAAGCATGTCGTAAAAGGCGACTAAAATGGTTACCCAGTGGCTGGGGATATAACCGGGTAAAGTAATATTAGAATTCTCCCTTTGGGTGCCCCATGTCCTTGTGCCGCAAGGTCAACGACAAAATGAAGTTGCATTTTTTTACTATTTTTTTTATTCATCGGTACATAATATTTGTGAACACACAGATTTATAGACTTGATGTAGATGCTGATGCCACCGAGTGGGATAAGAAACTACAGTATTAACTTTACACTATTAGTGCAGAACATATAACACATATGAACATACTTGGCCATCAGACATGTCCAATAAACTAAGCCTCTATTTTGATTATCAAAGTGTTTTGTTTTTTTCGATATGTAGGCAAAAAAAACATCTTTTTATGATAATTTCTAACTATTTCTCTCAATAAATATTAATGTTTCACTTTCGGCGTCGTTTATTCAGATTATTCTTGTAAAAGAAACTTCTCATTACTAGAAAATCCTAGGAGATATTAGTCTCTGTTAATGACAAGCATTATTTAATTACTCCCTACTTTTGCAAATCTTAATTGAAATACTTTTCATCCGTAATCTCGTTTCTTCAGAAAAATAAGACAAACATATTCCCTTAATTGAATAATTTGATAATGAAGACTCAGAGAGAAACAAGTATTCGGAAATCATTGTTGAAAATCATCCCCCAACGTTATGAATATTCATGTTTGTGTAAAAAATAAATGGTGTTAAACATCGCTCGTCATAAATAAATCCTTCTAAATGTTTCCACACAGTAAATTTCGATCACAGCAACAAAAGGAATTAATAAACTATTTGTATTAAGACATTTGTGTACTTAAGACCAGTAATTAAACACATTTGATTTTGTTAACGATACAGGGTGGAAGTAAATTAGTTCGAAAAAAGTTTCCTTGATAGATGGCGCTAAGTGTATCAAGTCCATATCTGTATGAGAGGCAGTTCATCATTATGGTTGTGCTTTAGTAACCATGTAAATGTATAGCGACACTGAGATTGGTTTGTGTGTCGCTCTACGGTCATCTTATGCACACTTTAGACTAAACAGACCGGGACCTACTGTTTAAAGTGGATTCCGAACTACTACAAACACCCATGGCACCGCCAGGACTCGAACCCGAAATCTGTGGTACCGAGCACCAGAGCACTAGCCATTCAGGCCCCATCGATACTGAGAAAGAGACCGAAATGCTGTCTGTGATTTAATGAAACTCATTCCGCAGTACAAATGTAAAAAAATCATTCATAACCAGAATTGAATCACGGATCAATCCTGCACTTGGTTTGAACCCAATAAACATGTTCACAAACACCTTATAGTTCGACCACTGAACGTGTGGAAGGGTAAAAAGCGGAAAACGACCAAGCGATTACTTGTTAGGGGTGCTAGTCAGATATATGCAGCTCAAAGAAAAAAACTGTTTAATAGTTATCGTGGAATTTTCTTTCCAACTCATTTTTTTTTTTGATAAGATGCAATTTAAAATTATATTAAATGTATTCAGGTTTTATTTGCAGTAGTTAAAAACTATTCGAAAATACGTTTTTCCCTCTATTATACTGCTCTGTTTGGATCCGTTCAACTTGGCCATTTGCCAACTTTGGTATATTAAATTTTAAATTTTATGTGCCAACGGCCGTACCATGATGAATATACCGGTTCTCGTTAGAACACCGAAGTCAAGCATCATTGGGCGCGGTCAGTACTTGGAAGGGTGACTGGTAGGACCTGAATGGCCCGAGTGTCCAGCGCTCTGGCGTACAACA